TCTTCTTACATACACCATGCTTCATTACCACTGTTTTCTTCCTATTATGTCTCTGATTAAAAAATACTGTCACTTAAAAATGAAATATCAAAATGCTGATAAGAAAATCAGAAATGATTTGACATTAGAAAGTAGTAGTTTGTAGATGGAAATTAATGCTAATGAAGCAATATATGAGGTACTGACACTTATCAGTTTCCACAGAATGTTGATCCTCGTTGAAAAAACAGGGGTGGGATATCACAGACGCTCTCCTTGTAACAGCTGTTCTGATTAATGTGATGGACAGGAAAATAGTCTCTAGGCAGAATTTTGACTGTGATTCTGTTTTCAGACTGCATAAACCATTTTGACGTTTACCACAACATTCCCATGCTTTCTGAGTAGTGCTGATTTCATGTTCCAAAGTGTGGAACAGCTCCATAATACAGTTATCTAAATAAATTCCCTCTAGCTTGCAAGGGTTTAAAGCGAACTCCAGCTACTGTTACTGTTCCTCGATTAAACTTGGAAGAAGACTAGTAGTTCACCGTACTGGATGGAATCTGTTCTCATAAACCTTGCATGACTTTGGAAGCCCCTTTCCTTTGTGGCCTTTTTTCTTCAGAACAAGACTAATTACGAGCAGGTCTTCTGTAGATTGAAGCCTCCTTACATGATCTTTGAAAAATAGGTTTTTTCAAAAACTGGCCCTACTTTTCAGTAAAGAGAGTTGGAAACATGCTGCTCTTCATCCACTTTCTTAATATTCATCACTGGAACATGACTGCAAAATCTGACTGTATTATAATAATCTACTAGTAGGCTGGATATATAAGCATTTGTTTACTGATGTGAAGCATCATTTACTGTTTGATACCAATGCTGCTCTTAAGTATTTGATAATTGAATATTTAGTCTTTATGTTTCCTTTATATACATTACATATTTTTTATCATTCAATATTAAAAAAAGTTTGAAAATTCTTTACATGAAGTTTCGTTATGATGGCTTAGGGTATAAATCAAAGGTGCTACATTTCATTTTTACTCTAGGACTGAAGAAGGCTTTGAAGTGGTAAGAAGAGGAATCTTGGAGATGATGGTTAGCAGCTTTCTTCAACTGCTTTCTTGGATTATCAAAGACAGTTCCAGATATTTCCATTTTGCAGATAGATGAGCAAGCTGTGATAATGGTATCTTCTGAATCTTATTCATGATTTTAAAGACAGGAGCTATTCTAAAGAAAACAGTTAACTATCTGTTCTGCAGACAGATGCAGATGTAGAAAGGATGTAGACATCCTTGCCTCACCTATAGGTATCTCTCTCCACGGCTTTATTAATTCCCTCTGACTCAATCCTGCACCTTCCCACATCTGTGTCTTCTTAGATTTCTTCTTTGTTGTTTGTTGGCCAACACCCTTCTCTTAAGTCCCATTTCTCCCAGAAATATTCCCGAAGAGATCATCTCCCCATAATCCCTTAACTAAATGTCCCATTTCCCTTTTTGCTTTAAACTAGGGTGGCTTTTAAAAAATTATTTACTTGATTTTTAATATGAGTTTCTTTAGCCATATGTGAGTTTTAAATGATTTTAAAGGGTAAGTCAAACAAAATGGGCATCTGGGTATCTTTGTCATTCAGGGGGATACTGAAGTCAAAAGAGAACAAAGCACAGAATTGGTTGGGTTTGTTTTCTTTTCCTGGCAAGCAGTTAAAACTATTTGCATTCAGTGAGGCTTCTGAAACACAACAGCACTTATAAAGAGCTACCACGTCTACATACCTCCTGCAAAAGGTATGTCATGCAGGTAAGCTAAGGAGCATGTAGAAACTTTAATAAAACAACAGTGCTCATGGTAGAAGTTGCTCTCATTTGATGTTTTTTTAGTGCATCTGTGATTCATGAGGGAAAGCTTTTCCATTCCTGAGTGATATGTGCCTGTCATGCTCATATCAGGAATTTCACAAAAACTCCTCAAGTCAAGATTTGTTTCACATGTCTCTTGTGAACAACTTCTATTGAAGACTGGGTATTTAAATCACTCTTAGTAACCTATTAAAATATTTTAATGGATCATTTGAATCACAATTTTCTATGAATTAAAAGGTATTTTTGTTATGATGTTACGAGTGATACTACATTACACTGTCATCTTTGGAATGATCCCAAACTTATATAGCTCCTTCACAATGGCAACTATTCATATTTCTAAGATGAATAGAGTATTAAAACATAATTCCAGCATGCTGGCAACTGTGGAAGGCATTAATTCTTTAGCAAAGGCTTGTGCATATGAAGTGAATCAGCCATAATACCTATTTTTCACACTTCTTATACAGAAACATCATCTTAGGTGTGTGCATTTCATGACTAGAACAATGGCTAAAAATATCAAGCTGTTGTTTGACTGTATCTTTAGGTATGAACAGAGTTCTTTACAGTATTATTTTTACTGCTCCTTCAATGCCTTTCCATCAGTCTAAAATTAGTATTATTTAATATTAGCAATATTTCATGTTAGTATTTACAATAGTACCAAAAATACCACACAGCACTTAAGACCAATTATTAAAGAATTCAATAAACAGAACTGCCAGTCAAAAAGAGATTACTCAAATATCAAATATTTCAAATAATTTGAAAATGCACTTTAGCACTTCTTTTTGATGTAGCTTTGATTTTCTCAGGCTCAAGTCATTATTACACCCTCTTAAGTTTTCTTTTAGAGTATTCAGAGCGAGTCAGAACTTTCCTGCTTCAGTGTTGCATTTGAATTGCCTTTGTACACTGACCGCTTTCAAAAGCTTTGAGATGCAAGTCTTGCAGCCTACACTCTGCTCCTTCCTACTGGTTTCCTTACGTATTACCTAAGCCAGATGCAGCCCCTCTACACCAAGTATTAGGCCCAAAAAGGTTAAAGAGCTGTGAGATCGTATGGTACACTGAACCATGTGTTACTGGGAATGGGGCCAGAAGAGCCAGGTGACGAAAAGCAGAGAAACAGACTTAAACTACTGATCAGAAGAGAAAATGCTAAAAATGGATGTTACTTGCTCTAAATGAATCACTACTGACAAGACAGTTCCCATCCAGCAGAACTCTTCCTGCCAAACACCACAGTCCTTCTTCTTCAACATAGGTTTGTATTGACCCTTCTCTGTCTATCAGGTCTTCAATTTACATGTTTCCTTCAATCTAGATGTATCTAGCCCTACAGAGCAGATATTTTTAATTTTCTATTTATTTAACACAGCACATTCCACCTCACTTTCTGTACTGCTTTTTGTTAGTGCTCTCACAAGACTATGTTGTGACTCGCAAGAGGAAAGAAAGGATGGTCTGAGATTTGTTGTTATTTTACCAGGGTTCATTTTCCTAAGATAAGACCTACAGACATTGGCTGTCACAACAACTAAAATATCTTTCCTTTCAGTAAAAGAGGTCACACAGCCTGGACACAGACTGTCAAACAGTTTATTAGGCCTTGGGTCTACTGTCTAACATGATTTTACCTGTAAGCTTCTAAGACTTTGGCAGGGATCAGGTTGGACAGATTCATGTGGTGGCCAATGATCTGCTCTGTGGTCTGCCCTTCCCAAAGGAGATCCTGACAACTTCTTCTCATCAGGCAGGATGGGCACACAACCACAGTGCAGATACACATCTGGTCAGTCAAACAGTAGGGAGCAGGTAGAATCAACAGATAGAATCATTTACCTGCTCTAGGTGGACCTGCTTTGGCAGGGGGGTTGGACTAGATGATCTCCAGAGGTCCCATGCAAGCCTATGTGATTCTGTGATTCTGTAACAGCACATGTGCCAAGTGACAGAAATTTTGACCATGTGACTTGGCCACTGAAAAACAGTCTAAACTAACTGTACTAATAATATGAAACTAGAAGTACTGTACATTTCATACCCTTAACTACTACCAAAATGAAATATGAATGCTACTATCAGGTATTAATAAATATTTAGGGGCATTTTTTTAAGAGGAATGATTAGCTTGAATTAAAAAAAAAATAATTTGAAAACATGTAAAGGTCAAATTGTGATTGTTTAATGGTACAATTATACTTTTTAAGAGGAACAGCAGGCTCTTATAAGTTAAAAATCATATTTTTTATTTGAAGTTTTTTTTTTTTTTTTAGAAAAAGAAGCTTGCAAAATGTTCAATGAATTGATACAATAATTCTTCAAACAGGAATTGTCACAGAAGTTACAACGTCTCATAAGCATGGAAAAGTCACTCATCAGGGTTCCAATCTAGCAAACCACTTCAGCATGTCAGGTTAGTCTTACAGTTAAATAAGCTGGAATTTATGCTTTGCTGCATAAGGATCTTAGAAGAAACGAGTTAATAAATTGTTACATTTTTCTTCAAAGTCAAGTAAAGGTTGAAAATATTAACAAAACTAAGAAAAATTCTGCTGTATCGGACACATACTGTTGCCATACTTGCTTAAAAATACCACCTAAAGAGTAAGATGCACTTATTCTTGCTGCCAAGATCTATCACTTACATCTATCTAGATCTATTGATTTAACTCAGTAAACTAATGTATCTTACTGCTACCAAATATAGTAAAATATCTACATTTCCGAGTTGTGAACTGGCAGGTTTTTTTAGGACATCTGCTTAATTGTATTAGGCTCTGGAATACTAGGAAAAGAGAGACATACAAACCTCTCCAGCCATGTTCTCCTGTTGCATTTTCTTAGAAAATTATTTGCAACTATCGATAGATATTTACACAAGAAAAAGAGTAACTTCTGCAGTGACCTTTCCTGCTTAACCCTGCAATTAAAAAGTGCTTCTAATATTTACAGAATTAATGCTTAAATGAGAAATTGAAAATACACTGTTGGTACTTATTGAGTGGCAGCTGGACTATTCAAATATGATCATAACAGTAAAAAAAATCACGTCTAGCACTTTATATCCTCCAAGCTTCTTGCAAATATTCATTAAAATGTTTCCAAAACAGTGAACAAGGAAAAATCACTTAGACTTACCCACATTTAATCTGCCTGTGACTTCCCCATTTGAATTGCGAGCATTCACAGTCACGTTGTGAGTAGACTGGAGAAGTAGTGAAGAGTCCTGAAGTATAGAGAGAAAAGTAGATTCAGCAGAACAATTAGAATTTTAAACACATGTTTTCATAAAAGTTTAAGGGGATCATACTCAGTTCCAAGACGTTGTGGCCAGAAAATTATGTAAGGAAAAACAGAAAGTCATAGACGTACTAGGAAATGTGATTTTATGTTAAAACGTAAACCAAACTGCAAAACTACACACTTGCACAGAAGAGAATATGACTGACAGGAGGATGATGTTTTGACCATTCTGTGCTAGCTGAATGAGGTATGTAGTCGAGAGACAACTGCCAAACCCCTGGTGACACATGTCCCTGCTACAACAAGCTCCAAGTTTGTTGCAGGAAAGCCAACAAATCATGCAACAACTTTCAACACCCTCTCTAAGCCTGAAATCACCAGAAAAAAACCACTTAGTCATGTTGAGTGGGTTCTTCTTATGTTTTTCTTAGAATCATAGACTGGTTTGGGTTGGAAGAGACCTTAAAGATCATCAAGTTCCAACCTCCCACTAGACCAGGTTGCTCAAAGCCCCATCCAGCCTGGCCTTGAACACTTCCAGGGAAGGGGAATCTTCAATCTGCCACCTGAATTATCTTTAAATGCAGCTGATCTTCAGGGACATAACACTGGCCATTGTTTGTACTTGTTTTTAAGTAACAGAAAATTGCCGGGGGACAGTTTGATCACGCTCATTTGGATCATCAAATTGTAGCCACACCCGTAGACTTAAAAAGAGGGAAGGAAGTTTTTTGCATTACAGGTGCTTTCACACTAAAGCATACTTTGTATTTAAAGGACAGGTACCTAGTAACTGATAAGAGTGTCTGAGCAGATCTCTGTTGCTAGAGTATCAGGGAATATGTGATATGAAGATGATATTAGCAAGCTGCCTGCTTGTGACCTCAGGGGATACTCATTCCTAGATAAATAAGTCAGTTTCTAACTACTGGAATGTTGTTAAAAGATCAGTCTCTTTTCACATATGTGGCTTCTGGTACTTTTTCTAGACTCAGGAAAGACTCTGCAGCACCTTGAAGGGCTAACCCCTGAAAATCACTCCCAAGTCATGCTTCTGTCATAATTTAATGCTTGGGGTATGAGGTAGTGTGAGGATTTTGAAGACATTTTATGTGAAGAATTTACTACAAACACTTATCTAGTAACAGTGCTAGCAGCTATAACAGTTTGGAGTCCAACATACTTTTTTTTAAAAAAGCTTAGAAGTAGCGAGCCAGCCTATCTCAAAAGAAATCACTAAGTGAGGAAAATAAATGAATCTCATTTTGTAAATTGTATCAGGAAAAAGTGAAAGCTAACAGAATTATCAAAAATAATGAAAAGTCTTTGGAAAAAAGTAAGCATTGTGTTAGAATGAAAATTAAAGGTAACAAGTTAGTATGAAGTGGAAAAGGAAGGTCAACAAAGATCAGGTAAACGTATTATATGTAAGTACATGCACTAAATGACGAACATATCTGGGCATTTTTATTACACTTATTTGATTGCCACCGTTAATTTAAAAAATAAGTTAGTAATTTGTAATATCAAATGTAAGTGCGAGTAAACTGTATAGTAAACTTCTAGACCTGTAGCTGACACACATGTGCTGTTAATTAAACATATTTATAAATGCTTATCTTTTATCTTGCCATGTATATGAATTAGCTAAGATGCACCAGTGTTGTCCACAACTCTGTGCTGGACTCTTAATGAAGGCATAAACCTGTAATAGGCTCCAGAGATGATGCACAGCAGGTAGGTTTTCTGCTATGTGTTTTCTTAGCACTTTGGAGACCTCATTAGGTGAGAAAAGCTGTTAGGAGGCTGCAGGGAGAACACTATTAAGGCAAGGTAGAAAGCTGCTGTGATAGCGGCGAGTGGCCCAATTCTTTAACAGACAAACTTAGAAAAAGAAATCATAACAAATAAGCAACTTTATGCGAATATATAGATCTGAGAATATACAGATGGCAGTCAGGAGATCAAGCTACAGGCAATTAAGCCTCTAGAGAGTTCAAATATTTTAAAAAGCAAGCGAACAAACAAAATCCCCTCTATTGAATTGTCAGTTCATAGGGGGCAGAAACACACAGTAGCCTGAAGGCTCTAATTAATGCATGCTTCTAATGATCACAATGGATCATTAAACAGCCAAGCTTATATTAGATGTTGCCACACCTCTTTCTTCCTATATTGTACTAAATATATTAAGAGCTGGAAGGAATATTAAAAGAGCATGAATAGTAGCTTAACATTATGTAACAATTTTTTGGGGCAGAAGTTTTTAAATGTTAGCTATGCTGGTCTTAAAAAGTTATGTGGCATATTGGTTAAACAAAAAACTTAAATGAGGGAAACTCATTTAAGGACATAAATAGTTTTCCCACTGCCTGTGAGGCAGAAAAGAATACAGCATGAGAAACAAAATGGAAACATAGATTTAGCATTGGAATTTCACCATCTAAGTAAGATCTATTCCTGCTACTGGAAATACTCATTGCAGAGAGCGAGAAAAAGGAAGGCTTAATAGACATAAAATACGTTGGCATTGGTTAAATTCCAGTAACTGAGCGTTTTAACAACCTCATCCTAAATCCTACATCAACCATGTTTTCTTATTAATTTATTTACATTTTCTCTTGCTATAGCAATACAAACACTAACTTTTTCCCTAGTTTCAGAAAAGCCTCACAACTGGCCATCTTGGAGAGGATGATTACATGTTTGAAATAATCAACAAGCCATATTCAGCTTTTAGTCTCATTGAATAGTAGTACTTCATTCAATTAAATGTCCCATTTGTTGATGACAATGCTCATAAAGCACAGCTTTATTTTGTGAGAGTTTATATTACAGACAATAGTTCTGAAAAATATTCATTTTGTTGGCCAGAAACAGATATCACTTTACAAAAGATTCACCTGAATAAGTTTCAGAATTCACCTGGATATTTAAAAAACACTTGAGATTCTGTCTGCCTCTAAACCCAGTACTTCAATAAAAATCTTTCACATCATACCCATTCTCAGTGCAATTTTACTCTGCTTGATAAATATTTTCTTTGACTAAGTATGTTCCTTTTTACTCCAATAATAAAGTTTTCTATGTTAACAAGATTCAATCCTAAATCTTCCCATTAGTCTTGTAGACTAATTTTACGCAAATAAACATATAAATATATCATACATTAAAATCATTGTCCTAGAAGTGACAAAACCTGAACTTATTAAGGAAATTATAACTTTTCCAGTAAGTTCCATTAATTTTAGGGATATTCAAACTATTCCATAATGGCTGAATAACCAAAAGAAGCAGTTTCACAGGGAAGCCTACACTGACAAATAATCTCAGTAAAAATAATTAACAGCTTTATACATACTCTTAAAATTTAGCATTGTTTACATACGACGACCTTTATAATTCCTTTTTGAGCTATTTCTTATTACATGCCTAGGAGAAAAATATTAATTCTGCCATAGTATTAGCACATTGACCTAAGCATTGATCATGCTTGGAAAGTATGCAACAATAAGCGTGTATACACATACGTAGACATACACACAGACATATATATATATATATATATATATATTTCCAAGACAAGTGCCTGGACTTTAACCTAAATTCAACTTTTCAGAAGTGCATTGATTTCATTTTAGCATTATTGAAATACTATCTGCTTACCACTCGAGAATGGATTTCTTTGGCATAAAGAGGGAACAAGAATTCTGATTCCCCTTCCAAGCGAAGGCCTTCTTTCGTAACTCGCAGGTGTCCCATTCCAGTCTGAGGAGAAGATGTAAGAATCATACACTTTTTATTATTGTTGTTGTATTTATTTTTTGTTCTTTTCATAAATGGAAAACTTCCAGAGCTGCCTGCCTCCACTCTATTGATAAAGATACCCATACTAATGCATTTAAAATTTTAAGAATTCCTCATTTCTTCCAAGAACTACTTTTCTTTAAGAAACCGTAGCTTTTCAGAAAAAGTTACTGAAGTTGGGATATATATATATATTTTTTTTTTCAAAATAGCCTTTGTACTTGCCTTCTAAAAACATCATAAATCAGAACACAATAAACTTTTACACATGAGCACTCACATAAAACAAACCTTATGTTAGCATCTCAAGACTTATTCTATCAATAATGTATTTACAAGGAATGCAATACTTCTGAGCCTACTGAAGAGATAGAGAGGGATTTTTATTTGCTTCCATTTTCAGTAATTTGGTCTTTCTTTTTCATTAATTTTTCATCCCTTGGTTTATTTTTCCTCTCCTCTGATTATAGGTGAAGACTCCATCTCTCACTATCATCTTCCTTTCTCTCTGTCACCTACTTGTCAGTTTTTGTACCTTCCTCTTAATCACTCCCTCCTGATTTTGGTCCAGTTGTGCTTTCCAGCCCATATCTTCTTTAATTCATTTTTGCTTTCTTTCATTGCTATGGTAGAATTGATAATGTGAAAAACGAGTGTGGAATTACTTCAGTAAGTACATCTGAGGACTTGCAGCTTAAGCTGCAAGGTATTCCACAGGTTTTTAGCTAATTTGTAAAGGATCCACTCCTCCCCCTGACATAAAAAGTGAGAAAAAATGGCAAAAAACTTGCATCATTACAGCTCTGCCACACACAATAATATTTCAAGTTAACTGCCTCAAACTGCAAGAAGCAGGTGGGAGGGCTGAATAATAAACAATAAATCCAAAAAAGTATTTCCACTACAAATATTTTTCAGATTGTTCTCCATATAAGCAGAGAAAAAGATATATGCAACAGGCCACTGATGATACATCCATAACCTGTTCATCTAATGATTATGCTGACCACCAGAAAAAGCTGTAACTTTAAGAGACTTATTTTCAAATACGGTATGTTCTTGCCAATGAGATTATATATATTATATATATATAAAACATATATTAAATAAGTTAATATATATTTCATATATAATACGTATTATATATATATGATGCTAAATAACACGTCTTACAAGTCTTCAATGAAAACTTGTAGCTATTTTCTTTCAACAGGCCCAAAGACAGAAGCAAGTTTTGCTTACATTCCGTGAGGTTAGAAACATTCATGTCAGCAGTTCACTCCACTGGAGAGTGTAACTGCAATTCTTCCTCAGCAAGGATTTATTTCAGGAAAGAGGCTTTTAGAATAGCTATTTATGGAATCTGTTATTCAGTGTCAAATATTTTATTGCTCTGAAATACATAATGTACTGACTTTTCTCAGTGGAAGTGGATACAATTTCTAAACAGACCATTGCAAAGCTTTTTAAAAGTACCTAGTATATACTGATAATCTCATGAGGCAAAACTAAAATAATGCATATAATGAGCCCCCTATGGCTTTCATAATGACAATTCCTAAGCAGCACTGAGTGATTCAGAAATATGCTTTTCTAGTGAAGACCACGGAGACTTTTTTCTAACCTGTAACACAAAACTAAGATCACTTCAACACCATAAAACCACATCGGTTTAAAGACAAACACGTTTGAAAAATATGACATGAAATATCAGGATATTCTAAAGAAATACCAGTAACAAGTGGCTCTCATTTAATTAACTAAATTTAGGATCTCATTATAGGTCTGATCTCATGCCTTTTCTCATCAGCTGAAGTAGATTATATTAACTATCAGGTTTAAACACAGTTTTCATATTTTTCCTGAAATATAAGTAACTAAATAAACAATATATTATGTAGTAAGTATAAAAACATTATTGACATTTAAGAAGGCAGAGGAAGAAGTAGCAATTAATTCTTCCTTTGAAGCAGATCGGGGAAAATTGAAAAATCTCCTGGTCTGCCTTTGGCTTTGCCAGGAAGAAACTTTAAGTAGAGATGAAAAAACTATAATTGATGTTGAAAAAGAAGATTATGCAATTTACTCAGCACACTCTTTCTAATGGATTTAGATTTTTCAGCAATGATTATTCTAAAGACGCTATATAGACAAAGGAATGTCTTTGACATCAAGAATAATGCCATGTGACAAAACTTAGCACTTTAACTTATCTATAAGTTCTTATTTTTCAGTAAATCCAGTCATATCAATCAGGGTTACCTTGCATAAGTACATCCTCAAGTATTTCCGATTTTCTTCGTAAGATATTTCATTTAAGCATTGACACAAAGCTTACATTCTCATGTATTTGAATTAGAGCCTCATTAGCCAACCTCAATGACCACTCAAGAAGTGCAAAACCAAGGAAATTTAGATTTGGGTTACCGGAACAAATTACTAGCTGCGATGACAAACAGATAAACTCTGCAACACAGATGAGAACAACAAAAATGTGGATTTCATATAATGATCCTCACTTCTTTTACCATTTTGATTGTAAACAATTATTATTTCCTTAGTACCACGATATTTGAGCATCCCAAAATTGTAAAAGTGTTGAATTACACAGTACTGTGAGATGAAGAAATTCTATTATCCCACTTTTATAATTGGTAAATTGAAGTTACATGGAATGTAAAAGAAAGGGATTTAGGATAAACAACCACCCTAATGCACTGAGATCCAACGATAAGTTCCATAAAAAGGAGTATAATAGTTACACATAATGTTCTCTCAGCAACCACTCTGCTTCCTACATTACCATTTAGGAGAAGCCAATTATTATTTATTGAGTCTTGTGACTTCCTCAGTGATGAACAACCTTGATGCTTTTAGTTTCAAGGATTTGATTCTGCTTGTATTCAAATAATGGAATAAAAATATTTCTATTGACTTGAGAAAAGGGTCCAGATATCAGTTAGACATGGACTTTGATGGAGTTATACAATAAGCTAAGTGAAAAAAAAAAAGCTTCATTAAACATAGCAGATGTATGGCAAGTCCAGATTGTTGTTATCCTGATGTTGATGCTTGAGTGTGCTTGGCCATGAGCTGTAAGTTTATTGTTGTGCATATAACCCTGAGACTCATGTTTTCTGATTGGTCAAAGCCCTCAGTGAGGCAGGGACTGAGCTGTACAGAAGAGGAGGATGAAATGGTCTCCCTGTAGACATTAAGCAGCTTTTGCAGTTGCTGCAGGGAGTTGACAGGCATGAGAACTGCTGGCAGGCGCCAAACCCTTATGCACCAAATATTTAGTATAGCACCAGTGTTCACAAAGGTGTGACCAGTTCTCATTTCAAAACTGCTAGCCATATTCTAATTGGAGGAACAGGATACAGTAGAAGCATTTTTCATCCTTTGAAAATGCGCTTGAGGAGGTAAATGCTTGTAGGAACAGACACAAGGCCTTCTATAAGAAATTCAAGCTCTGGGTGGGCTCAAGCCTTATAAAAGCCCAACAAAAGGCTCTTTGATTCAAAAATCATGGTCTAAAGGGTATTTGACAGCCATTCAGTGAATTGCCTACATAGGGATACTTCAAGCTGCCTGAAATAAGTAGCTACCACTACTAGAATCCTACATAAAACTCAGTGTGCTGTGGAAGATCTGGATGGGAAGACCATTTTGGATGGGTTAGACTCTCTTAGACTCTGGATACAATAAATGTAAAGTATTTTTCCTCTGAAAAAAGAAGAAAAAAGAAGTTCCAGAAGCAGGAACTTCTTGTTCCTTGTCTCAGGACCAAGAAAGTCACTTGGAAAGAGAAGTGCATTGCTGTGGGACTACTAGGAGTGGAAGCAAGCAGCTGTAGCTCCAGGGCTTTTGCACTCTCAGTGACTTGCTCTCAGACAGTACAGCCTCATGCTGTCTATGGCTTATGCAGTCAAAAGAACATTAGATGATATATTTGGGATTTATCTCCCAAACCAATATGATAATGTAGAAGTCTGCTGCTAAAAGCACACCTCCCTTAGAGATGAGGATGAGGCCTGAGGAACATTCATTCACTTTATGATGAGTATTTCTAGTCACCTGATTCAATCAACAGCTGTAACTTGCATTTCCCTATCAGCACAGAAACTGGTAGATGTGAGGACTTAAAATATTGGATCAATCACTCTTCTTATTATATCATATCATCATTATTTCTGCACCTTCTCAGCATTAGACTCAATTCCAGTCTTCATACTCCTTTAAACAATGGATATTAAACATCTGGTCTATGTATCAGCTAATAGCTGCACAGGAAGATGTGCATTTTTCCTGTTTTGGGGAGAGATCAAATACTGGAAAGACAGGTATATCATGTGTTAGCATGGTTACAACAATAAAACCTCTAAGTTGATTCAAACATTAGTTTTAACACACACTGAATTCACATTAAAGTAGCTCCTGTCTCAGAAGTTAGCAGCACGTTTGATTTGTAATACCTGCTCCCTGAATATTCAAATTTTCCTAACGTACTGTACTTGCTGATTGGAACCAATAATGAGATTAACTTCAGAGTAGATAGGATGCAGCATCTCCATTCAGGCAACACCTCTTCTTACTTACAAGATACTTACAACCTACTTTTACGCCAGCCCAGGGAAAGACCTTGGCAAGTTCAGACCAAGACATCATTTGTTGTGCCCCAAAGCTAGTTCAATTAATGGCTTTATAGATCCAGCTTTCACCGCAGTACTTCTTGCAGCAATTACTATTTAGAGAACTTGCTTTGCAAACAAGAGCGTACTGTTTCATTGAGATAATAGGACTGTGGGTAGAGATTGTTAAAGAGCAATCAGCAAAACAGGGTTGGTAATGAATCTGATGAAACTCTCTGTTTGACTTACAATATCTATTTTGGAGCTAAGTACGTGCTTGGTATAATAACATTACTGATGCCTCATCTCATTTTCTGTTGCAAGGACTCT